CTTGAAACTGGACCATTTAGGCATCCATAGTTCTATGTAAGCTATGACTTCACTGGCTGGAGCTTACACATGGTGTTAGTTGGCCCCCAGCACCTGAAGAAAGTAGCAACAGTGAGTGAATTAAGCTGAGTATGTGCTTCTGGGGAGGGCTGCATTAAACTGAACATGTTGCATTGTTCCGCATAAGCAAAGAACAGGTTAATTTTAGAATGAAATAAGTTATAAATAATGCAATAAAATATGAAAAGCAGCTATTGGGGGAGAAAGTCAAAATAAAGCATGTAGTTGGTATCTGTCTATCGTTGACACTAAATGGTGGCCCACTGTGTAAATTTTAATAGAGCACAGCTTCTAACGAGGACTGTATTACAATTCTAATGCAGTTTCAGGAGGGACACAAGATGTGTGTCTGTGAAGTGTCTCATTTATCCAAGTCACAGTATAGCCCGTAAGTGTTAGACACATTAAACTGGACTTGTTCCGTAATGTTGAAGACATTAGCTGCTTATCCAAGCAGCTTCCTCAGCTTTTTAGAGCCATGTCACCTAAATCCAATCATTATGGAAAGTGCCAAAGCAGATGTTGATCTCTACCCTGGCCCTTTGTCAACAATTTACACCTTCAGTCATGTATCTCAGATGATTAACACTTGACCTAGATTGGACTATGTAATTGGAACAAGGCAGTTTTGCAGATTTTCCTACTTGTTGTCTTGTTGTTGGATCATAAACATGTGCCTTGACATGCTCCATGATGACTGGATTATTGTATACCTAAACCAAAGAACAAAAATTGAATATATTGCAGTTGATCAGTCCTTAGATGTGGTAGTAGTTGTATTAGTTTTTATTTTTTTAAGCTAAGCACATTTTCTGGAGGTACAAAAAGAATAGTGTTGGTCCTGCTAAAATATTGTGTCCTTGTAACTTTTTGACCACTAAACTGAAATCTCAAACAGTGTTATTAGCTTTTCCAGCTATGTATCTTCTGTAGATAACTGTACTCTATGACTTTCTCATTGAGGCTCAAGAGGTTGCTAAGGATTCCTTGAGCAACAATGTTTGTTCTCAGATACGTAACCAACTATCTTTTAGCTACTTGTACGAGGAGCATTCTTCCCACTGACTACCAATGAAAGGACTTCAGACTGGCAGACAGGCTAATGTTCTGAATTATTGGCAGGGGTTTCAGAGGCCTGAAAGTTATTTCAAGGGTCACTCCATGGTAAAAATTGTTGAGCTAGGCTGCTCTATGTAATAGAGAACGTGGAGAGGGGAAGGTGTTCTGTACTCCAAATTGAAAGAGATGCCTGACAGCAGAAAGATAACCTGTTTCTCCACACATACTCCATGGTAAATGTCTATGGTAAGTGAGCATTATCACCCTAGGACAGAAAGTGTGTTACTTGCAGGATCAGCAGGTGAAAATTAAAGAAATAAATACCTGAGAAAGGGAAAACTAATACAGCCACAACATCTAAGGACTAGCAAACAGCAATATATTATATTTTTGTTTTTAGGTTAAGATCAGTTTTAAGGTTAGTTTTGCATGCATCTATAAATGCTGGGGTAAGTTCTTGACAGTAATTAGAGCTGGAGAAGCTGCTTGGATAAGCAGCAAAATTGTTTTTCAATAACCAAGTCCAGTTGAATGTGACTAATTACTACTAGCAACACAAGATGCATCCTAAGAGTTGTGATAGGTACAATAAAAGTACACCATGCACGCCTATATTTCCCATCTCATAGAGACTCTAATTTATCACCTTTCATCAAGATTACAGCTCCAGCTTTCTTAGGCAAGGTTTAAAAATGAAAGCAAATATTTAATCGGTTGTAATAAGAAGTGCTATTCTGTCTATGGAAATTAATATGAGCCCAGTGAGCAGTGATTTGCACATCCTGCATCATTTACAAAACAGTGTTGGGGAGGAGGTAGAACAATTGCACAGAAAACACCTACAGGTCCATCTGCACTGTAACTTAGGTAATTGAGTTCGCCAGTTTTTTCCTGCAGGTAGAACTGTATCCAGCTGTGGAATCCAGAGATCTTTCCATTATGGATTTCACCTATGAACAGAAAGCACCAGTAAATATGTGCACTGAATAAAGAAAGCTGAAAAAAATAAACATTATGTATTAGGTAAAAGTGTCTCTAATAATAATCATACCTACATATACAAAAGGTGCCTCATTTAACAGAAAATCAAATATTTGACATATATTTAACTGTTCAGTTCATTACTCTCTGTAACTACAGCTCTACAATGAATTTAAGTAGCTTTTTTATCTCCTGCACAATATATAATATACTAACATTTGATACATAACATTATTATGTGGTCAAAATTCTAGACCAAATTAAAAAAACCCAACTCCGCACAAAACAACGTGCCCACATTGCAAGGGTTAACTGCTTGTTTTGCCCAGTGGAGAGTAGAAAGCCTATACTCACATGTTCCTCTATTCCACCGGCAAACACCCCCCCTTCACGATCCAGCATAGATCGTAGGAACAGTGCACTGCTTGCACATGACCATTAGCCCGTGGGGCCAGGAGCTGCAGGGACCAGTCTTGTGCATGGAGGATCAGAGGATCAGGTTAGTATATCTCCAATCCCCTATACAAAAAATGGGCAGTTGATCTGTGCACAGCCCCACTGCATGGGAATTTTTTTTTTTCAGCTTTAACCTCACATCAATTATGAACTGAAACGTAAAGTGGATTTCCAGCTTAACCATAACTACTGTTATAAGTGTCCCCTCCCCTCTCCTAACACCTATGCCTATTAGCTTGTGTAAGAAAGATGTAAATACTTAGCTTTTTCAGGCTGCTCCAGTCTGGTCACATGATTCCACTCCCCTGTGTCAGCACTTTTTAGTTGGGAAACTGATGTAACGTAAAGTTAACTTGCAAAAGAGGTGCTTACAGTTGGGGCAGAAGAGATACAATAGGCAGACAGTTTCTACTTGGTCGCACAATCACACAGAACTAGATTTGTTGCTTTGGTAGTAAAAGAGACCCAAAGATTCATGCCAACATTCTTGCAAGAAAATTTCAAATTATATATTGCAGATCCTAATTAATAAAAAACTGCTCTAATAAATTTCCTCTATAGTGTTTATTGGAGTTTTTCTTGAAAAATAATCAACTACAGTACTACCCCATTGTAGTCTAAGAGTACCACTGGAAATATGTACCTAAATCTAGAACCTCATCCATGGCTGACCAAAAGGTTTGTCTGTTTGTCTGAAGCCAACTTCTATCTTGTTGTACATGCCTTGGATTTCCCTGTGAATTATTTAAAATGTTCGTACTTGTCTGTGCTTATCCTAATTATCAGCCTGATAGCTCTGTTACTAATGCCTAGTACACATGATCACAAAATCACATGACAAATATTGCTTTTGGAGGAAAGTACGATAATCTGATTGTTAGTACACAGCCTTGAAAGCCGAGCATGACAGTTCATGTAACAATATCTGAATGGACAAGCACAAAAATCTTTCTCGGGTGATAGCAGAGTGACCGATTTTCGTTTATTCAGTACAGTAGTTGCCCAAAAAAAATCAAAAGACCTGGAGCACGCATACTCAGAAACGAAAGAATACATTAAAATACAATATAACACATTCCATCACTCCCGAAGTTGTATTCTGTCATACAACAATTTTCTTAACTTTAGTAACCTCTTCATTTTCGATATGAGACTAGCATGCAAAAAAAAAAAAAAATCATCAGCTGGGCAAACACTGTTAGACCTTTTTTGTTCAACCAATGGGCCAAACAAAATGAAACTAACAGATTCCTCCATCCACACAAACAAGGCGGATGGAGGAACTTCCCCTGCTGGGACATTGTATGTAGGATGCTGCTGTCAGTATACACCAATCAGCAACTGGAGCTAACTGGCTGCACCGAGAAAATTTTTTCCAATGTGTCCCTACTTCTGTTGACCTGGGATGGCCACACACTGATCAAAATTTGGCTGCTCCATGCTGAATTTTGATCACTGTATGGCCAGCTTTAGTCATAGCTCCCTTTACCCACCTGGGACCATGACATTGTCTGCACCTGACTCAGGGGCGGACTGACCATTCCAACACGGGCAGTGCCCGGGCCCGGGGTCAGTAGGGGGCCCCATGAAATACCCCTGGTACCTTTTATAGGCTTTTTGGGTGTGCTTTGAGTCTGGGAAAGGACACAGGGTCTCCATGATCCCCTATTGCCCAGGGGCCCTATGAGGTGTCAGTCCACCCCTGACCTGACTCTGACTGCTAACTCTATTACTATCTGCTGTTGCTTTGACTATCTGTCTCAGGAGTTAGACCATTCTAGCATCTGCCTTGCCTGTTGTCAACTGTTGCCTCTAGCCACAGAGAGGGTCTGCTGAGCTCTGTAATAGGAATGCTGCTCAATCAGTGATAACAACAAGTGATTGCAATATAAAACTGGCTGAAAAATGTTCCAGTGAGAAACTGAACACCTAATCAAAGTTTAAACTCCTGCAGTTTTTACAATCTGGTCATAAATTTTGCATATTCCCAGGCTCAGGTGTTTATGCTTATGGAGGCAGCAGGAGACGTAAATCCAGAGACATTTAAAGCTATCTTGACTCAGCAGAAGACAATACCCAGTGGCAAAAATTATTCCCCTATAATATGAAGGCTGGTGATGAACTCTAAAGTTTTACAAAATTATGAGAATGGAAATCAGTCCAATTGGTTAATGGTAATCTCACAGCTCTAGCCCTCTTACAGGATGATGTCTGGTATCAGGATAGGAATATATAGGTATACTCTTTACTAACAATTGCTGAGAATAATGTCCAGCAGATGCTCTAAAAAATATTAGTACAAAACATGTTCAAAATATCTAAAATTAGACAATGCTTTTAATAAATACAGTATATAACATGTTAGTTAGGCCTAATGTGCTGCCAGTGTGTTTTTACAATGTACTATCAAAAAAGATAAGATGCAAGAAGCAGTCACTCCTTACCATGAAATATGTGCTCAAAGCCTGAAGAATCCAAGGGCCCCTTGGTACGGGTATACAATCCAAACCACATCAACTTCAGGTCATCCTTAAAGCTTGTGGTGGATGATGTATAATAACCTGTGTGAAAGTAAACAAATTTTCATTTAGACTAACCTTGAAAACCAAATAAGTTGCAGGGATGGACAATTCCCCTTGGCACATTTCAAGATTAGAGTGATGCCTAACGTTTTGGAGCCCTTTCTCTGCATTTTAGTCCATATTTTAGGGAGACTGGCTCCTGAACTGGTTGATTAACTCCACACAGTAAAAACAGCTATCTATGCAATTACTGTTGTACACATATACAGTAAGTGTGGGTTCTGTGACACTAGATCCCAAATGTTCAGTCTTCTTTTATAAAGCCTTAGGGCTATAGTATATTGAAATAATATATTGAAATACAATGGCTTTGGAGATGCGCTCCAAAAGGCTATATACGATTCATAATAAAAAAAAAGAGGGCCAGGCCAAGTAAGATAGTCTGTTTTATGATAAGTATGTTAACTACCAAACACATTTTTAGGGCTTATAGGGCCATCTCTTCATCAAGGCTTCAAACTTTCAAAAGATAGAAATGGTTAGACTGTATAGAACTCCAAACCATCTGCTGGAGTACTCACACCTTCTCTTAAATCTATATTCAGATTAAAGTTTTGCACAATTTGAGTATTATCATCTTCTAAAAGTTTGAAGACCCTACCACAGTTTTCTACAATCTAAGTATTCCCATCTCCAGAAGGTTTTTAAGCCTCAATGAAAGGGTGTCCTATAACTCCTTAAACGCATTGGGCTAACAGCCTTTTTATCAATAAGATAAGTTCGATACTTGGACTTTACCACAGGTCTGGTTGTCTCTTTGGTTTGTAATTCACATACAGTATAACTATATGGAGCGGACTGGAAGGTTGTATTAAAATTGTGCCAACAATGTTACATCTATACATTGCATTATTCCTTCGCTATATGCTACAATACATTTTATCTGATGTTTGTGCCAAGTCTAAATAAGATTATCTATGTTTTGTCCAAAGTGCATGTGATACAGTAAAGGCAGACACATGAGGGCTTTTATAATAAGGCTAACAGAAATGCTTGAAATAACATAACATGTAGCAATTGATAAAATTTCTTTTCTCACTATTCTGTACAGAGTAAACTCATATATGGTTGTTTACTATTGTAGAATATCATATATCATCATAGTTCATACAAAATTGCCTACAAAAAGGTTGCATGTACTGTTTGTATGTAAGTGATCCAATTTATAGCAAGAACATGTGCAAATAATATTGTTTTATCTTTGTAATAATAGTGTTATTATTTTTATAATAATGATGTTTACCTTTGGAAACTAAGAAATTCGAAAGTAAGCTGAAGATAGAAGTCTTAAAGACCTCATCAATAAAAGCATTTTGCTCTGTGACCTCTCCACTGGGTACCGTTTCTGCTGTTCCAGTTATCTTCTCATAATTGTCAAGCAGAGCAATGTATCGGGAATAGGTTGGACGGGCAAACAGTTTGGCCTCATTGACATAGCTGAAAAGCCTAAAAGTAAAACAGAACTTAGCACATTCTTAAAGGTGTGCAACTAAGAAAAATATGTTGCTAGACTGAAAATGTAACTTTATATATAAATGTATTCCTTCTTCGCCACTACAAATAATTGGAAAGTAATAAATAAGCCACGTTACTGATACAGAGTTCCAGTGCTGTGTGAGACATTGCACCTGTGCAATGTTTGTATATTTATAAGACTGTTTGCATTAACCTGACCTTGTGGAGTCTTGCATGAATAAAGGTTGGAGTGTTAGTCATTGCAATCAGGCACCTTTCAGGTTTCTTTTTTTCTGGAAACCAAAGCAGGTTGTTAATTGGGACAAAACATTCACATTATTTTTATATGAAGACTTCTATTTAAAAGGTTGCCCAAGCTTCACCTACAGCAAGATGTGTTCAACTGTCCTGCCAGCAACAGTGTATAGAATCTGAATATGTGACTTTATTAGGTGCAAACGCACACTGTAGTATCACCAGTCATATGGACCCAGGAACCCTATAAACAGTGGATGGGGAGGAGAGGTCACCCATTGTGGGTGCACCTCAGATGACCTCTTAAATGACTATTTTCATGTAAACTTGAAGTGTATCTAAGACCAAGAACAACAATGTAATATATGACAGTGTACCAGTCCTTAATATGCTGGCTGCATTAGTTTTTAAGCTTTCTTTCCTTTGTATGCACTTGGTGCTCTAGTAACACACTTCATGTCCTACGGTGAAAATAGTCAATGATACCTCCCAAATGTCTCTCGTTTAGAGAGACTGTCTCACTTTTGGAACCAAATCACCCTGTCCCTTTTTCTTCCTCAGTTGTCCCTCTTTTTGGGGAGATGATTAGGCCTCTATAATAAATGCAACACATGCAACTACCAAAAGTGTTACAGTGTACTAAACCTTTCACAAAAACCTTTCAATTACTGTTTCAAAAAGCCAGTATAGAAGAAATATAGTCATGAATCAGACAATCATTTTTTGCATATTAATACTTCATGGTGTAATCCATGGCTGCACACTTTAATTTGGACAGCCAAACACCTTCCTAACATGGGTTGAGGTGTTCTGTAGTTTACAGGGGTGAACTGGGAAGGCTGATAGCACTACTTAAGATGTTAACTCAGCAGAGGCATAGTGTACAGGAAGTTACAAGCTCTAGAGCATGGGACAGCTCTGAATTTCTGACAAAATCAACAGGGATTTGTGCACTAATCAAACATATATATTTTCATTTTTTTTTTTAAAAAAGAGAGAGATATATATGAGGTTGATTTACTAAAACTGGAAAGTGCAAAATCTGGTGCAGCTGTGCATGGCAGCCAACCAGCTTTTAACTTCAGCTTGATCAATAAAGCTTTGCAAAAAAAAACCCCAAAAACTGTAAGCTGGTTGGTTTCTATGCAGAGCTGCACCAGATTTTGCACTCTCCACTTTTAGTAAATCATTCCCACCTGGTTTATAATGAAGGTTTACATACACTTTAAGAAATTCCGTGCTTGAAAAATGTGGTAAAATGATTTAAAGTTAATTCCGGGTACAAATCATTCCAGGTCCAAATCATTTAGCTATATTCCTCAATGGTCACAAAGGGTACACATTCACTTTGTTTGCATCAATGGCTCTTTCGGTCCCATACAGTTCCATATTTTACGATGTAAAAGTACCGGTGACATCATCCTTGTACTACGCAAAGCCTGTGCAGAGAGTGGAGATGTGGGAAGGACCCAGCAGATCCGTCCACTACAGGTTGTATGTACAAAACTATATGGGGGCAGATACAAAGCCATTCAGCAGCACAAGGAGAGAAAACAGCAGTGAATGGTATTTATTACAGGAGGCTTCTGCAAAAAAGCAAAGTGCAAAAGTTGTTTTATGATGCATTACTGACCAAATGTGAAGAACTGCACAGAGGAGACCAGGATTCAATTAAGAATACACATGGGTATTGTATTTAGACAATATTTGTTTGGCCTGGAGTTTAGCTGTAATTATGTGGTGCTGCATGTTGCATACGAACATCTACATTCGGTCACCTTAATCCAATCACTCTTGTTTTAAGAAATGAAAAGGCAGATGTTGATTGTCCAAGAATATCCAAGAGGTTGGGTGTATACTGTCTTTTGAACACATATGGTGACTGGATCAAAGTGACAAAATTAACTACGTGGCTGTAATTGCCAGGGTATGTTCCCAACAATCCTTTAAACTAAGGAAGACAATTTGATTAGCCATGAAGCATCTTCGATATTATGCAACAAGTCAAGCTGAATGTGATGAACTACTATTAGATATACCAACCTTTCTCAACCAGGGTTTCATGGAACCCTAGGACTGCTCCAGAGGTTACTAGAGGTTCCCTGAGCAATGAGCAACTCCTACCTCTCACATAAGTGACCACACATTTTTTAGCTATCTGTAAGGAGCATCATTCCTACTGATCACTAATGTATGTGGGCTCTTCTACAATGACCACCAATCTAAGGGGTGGGGGGACTTTCCCCACTGACCATCTATGTAGGAGAGTATTTCACTGACCACCAATATTAGAGGACACTACACTGACCACTAATGAGCGCTGCATTTTCAAGCCGAACGGGTGTTCGGCAGGCTCTGCACTGTGATTGGCCAAAGCATTGCACCTGACCACAGGCCAGGTGCAATGCTTTGGCCAATCACAGGGCATGATCACATCACAAGGGGGCAGGCTTGATCCCACCCCCTTGAGACGCCATCACCCTATTTAAGAACTGTCAGGCCGGAGCAGCTGTCAGACAGCGGGAGCCAAAGTCGAGGGCAGAGCAGATTTTGTTCAGGTCTGCGATGGCAGCGGGCAGTGTGATTGATGGTGGATCTACTTCTGGGTACATTTTTTACATTTTTATTTTTAATAAAGGACGTGTCAAACACTATGCCCTGTCTTTTTTTTTGCACTACACTTTTTTTGTGAATGGGTAGTGGTACCATGTACCACATACTCATTCACATGGGGGGCTGGGATCTGGGGACCCCCTTGTTAAAGGGGGTTTCCAAATTTCGATAAGCCCCCACCTGCAGATCTCCACAACCACTGGCCAGGGTTGTGGGGAAGAGGCCCTTGTTCCCAACATGGGGACAATATGCTTTGGGGGAAAGCCCCCCTGCCCCAAAACACCCCCCCATGTTGAGGGCATGAGGCTTGGTATGGTTCAGGAGGGGGGCGCTCGTCCCCCTCCTCTCCTAACCTGCCAGACTGCATGCTTGGATAAGGGTCTGGTATGGATTTTGGGGCCCCCCCCACACCATTTGTTTTTAATTTTGGCATGGGGTGCTCCCCTCAAAATCCATACCCGAAGGGTTTGTTATGGATGGGAGAGGGGACCCCATGCTTTTTTTTAAATTTCTTTTAATTGTCGGGCAATGCCAACAATGATTGTTTAACTACTGAAATACTGCATGGTTTAATAATATAACTTATATGGTATATTAGTAACTCAGATTATCAGATCATACTCAGATGCGGTAAGATATAGCTCAGTAAATTGTCCTTGTTTGAACGTTCGGCAGGTTCGAATGTTTGACTGCAAATCGAACAGGGGGTGCTCAGCCCATCACTACTGACCACTAGTGTAATGGGGCACTTCACCAACCACCAATGTAAATGGGCATTTTCCACTGGTCATCAATGTAAGTGAGCATTTCTCCACTTACCACCAATACTAGAAAACACTGCAACTTTTACTGTTTGTGTTTCTTCTCTGGCCATAATTATAACTAATTTTATTTCATTAATATTGCTAAAGTTCATTTTGTCAAACAAAACATTCCTGGGAAACAAATACACTAAGTGAACTAAGCACCCCACAATCTCTTTTCTTTTACTTATACATATATCTCAGATTACTGTTTGGGCTAATGTACCATGAGTTTTAGAAAGAGTAATCATTACCAGGGGTTTCTTGAGACGTGAAAGATATGTCAAGGGTTCCTCTGTGTTAAAAAGCTTGACAAAGGCTAAGCTAAACTATGACCTGGATAAATGAAAATCTTTACAGACATTGGTAGAAACAAGAACGTGGGGGTCCAAAGAGAAAGCGAGAGATCTTTTTATCTGAGACACCTGGTAGGATGGCAAGAAAATACCATATTCACTAAACACATGACATCTACTTTGAAGCAAAACAATATGCCCCACCCATCTGCTTCACAGTGTTTAATTAAAGTGAATGTAAGCTTCTTTTTCCTGGTCACAATGTCTAGCTGACATTGAAATTAAATCAAAAATGATCTCCGCCCTCCATGATATGTCTATTTTTTTAAGTAAATGGTATCAAACAAGCAACAGGACGCAATTTAGCAATAGAAATAATTTAGTAGATATTAGAAAATAACATGGTAAGAATACAGTATATACAAGAGTTTCATGCATTATAAGATATTCCTGTATTATGATAAGACCGTGGTAGTTGAAGAAATAATTTATCTAACAGGACATCCCTGACATTACCACACTTTTGTAATTAAATTAATGTAGGAGATAGATGTAGAAAAACTGTTGTAATCTGTAATATTCATTAGGCATTAAAAGATCACCTAATGCAAAACTGCTATCTCCACTTTTGTAAACTCTAGAGAGTGAGAACCTATTAGTTATTATTATTATTATACAGTATTTATATAGCGCCAACAGTTTGCTCAGCGCTGTACATTACAATGGGAGACAGTACACGAGACAGTACAGTAACAATACAATACACGAGGGGTTCGAGGGCCCTGCTCCTTGGAGCTTACAATCTAGGAGGGAGGGGATAGTGGCACAGGAGGAAATAGCTGTGGGGGATAGAGTGGTAGGAAGAGTGGAGGAGATCGGCAATTAGCTGAGGGCGGGGTAGGCTTCCCTGAAGAGATGGGTTTTCAGGGTGCGCCTAAAGGTGAGGAGGGTAGGTGACAGTCTGATGGATTGGGGTAGTGAATTCCAGAGGATGGGGGAAGCCCTGGAGAAGTCCTGGAGACGGGCATTGGAGGAGGAGACCAGGGAACTAGAGTAGGAGAGTACGTTTTGAGTGGTATTTGGATATCAGATTGGTGATGTAGTTTGGGGCAGTGTTATGAACAGCTTTGTACATCAATGTTAGCAATTTTAATTTTATGCGTTGGGCAATCAGAAGCCAGTGGAGGGATTGGCAGAGAGGGGTGGCGGATACGGAGCGGTTAGTAAGGTGGATGAGTCTGGCCGCAGAATTCAGGATATACTGAAGCGGGGATAGCCTGTGATGAGGTAAGCCGGTGAGGAGGGAATTACAGTAGTCAAGTCGTGATATTATAAAGGAGTGAACGAGTTGTTTAGTAGTGTCTGGGGTTAGGAACGGACGTATTTTGGACATGTTGCGGAGGTGGAGCCTACATGAATTTGTCAGCGATTGGACCTGGGGCTAGAAAGACAGATTGGAGTCTAGAGTGACACCTAGGACTTTGGCTTGTGGGGTGGGGCTTATGGTGGCGTTGTTGGTAGTGATGGAGAAGTCGGTGGGGGGGGGGGGCGTGGGCTGGGGGGAAAACTAGGAGCTCGGTTTTGGAAAGGTTTAGTTTGAGGAAGTGCGATATGTCGTTCAGTAGGCTAATGATTCAGGCGGAGACTGAAGGGGTGAGGCAAGGGTTATTAGTTTCTTATATATCTCAAGCATTTTTATTGATGGGTTCTCTGCATGTTGTTCATTTTGTCCTGTTGATTTTTTCAAAATTTAATTTTACTGAGAATACAACAGAAGAAGAAACTCCCTAGTATGCAGGAACAGAGCATGGAATTATGGGAAGTGATCTTTCTGTATCCAAGGGATTTATTAAGCAATGAGCTAACTCTGCCCATCAGACATATGATTTAAATCCCCGTTTCCACTGCATAATGCAGAGGTGGCTTTGCGCAACCCCTATGGCAAAGATGAAAGGACGAAAACACGTCAGCGTGTGGCAACACAGCAACTGGATGTAATGTCAGAACTGGAACCGGAATGATGGATTGGAAGTGGCTGTGAGTTCCAGAAGGGGTGAGACGAGGATGTTACTCTTTCACTACATGTCTATGGGATGTCTGTTTATGGGATGAGCCTTATTTTATATCCGATTGTGAGTGTCAGTTTATATTTTAATAAAGAAGAGTTTTAATTATACTACTCTGTTGGGACTGTTCTTTTCCTTTTTATGTGATATTACTATTTGAACCGGTTTGCAACAAGATAAGATGGAGGAGTGATATACCAGCAGCTCCAGCGATCTGTGAATGATTGTAAGTGTTTTATGCCACTAATGTAAATGAGAAGCATGGATGTCTGGTAAGTTCCATACTAGAGGATATGGTACACTTAGATTTAGCAAAAGCGTTTGACACAGTTCCCCACACACGGATAATGTGTAAGGTAACGTCTACAGGCTTGGAAAAATCTGTATGTAAATGGGTAGAAAACTGGCTAAAAGACCATATTCAGAGAGTAGTGGTTAATGATTCATTCCCTGAATGGTCTAGGGTTGTTAGTGGTGTACCCCAAGGTTCAGTGTTGGGACCCTTACCTTTTAATATATTTATAAACGATATAGGGTCTGGGAATAAAAATCCCATTTCAGTCTTTGCAGATGATACAAGCTGTGCAGTGGAATAACGTCCTTACAGAATATCTTCAACTTCCAAGCTGACCTCAATGCTCTCTTTAATTGGGAAACCGTGTGCCAAATGAGGTTTAATATTGATAAATGTAAAGTTATGCACTTCGGGGAATCAATGGTGGAGAAGGATCTGGGAGTTCTGGTAGATCATAAGCTTAACCACCTCCCATCCGGCCCATGTATATATATAAACGGCCGGGCGGTGGCAGTGCAGGGTCGGGTGGCCGTTTATAAATTGCCTCCCCGCCCCCTGCTTGTGCGCTTTTCTTGAGAGTGCGCAGCACCGCGATCCGGTGCCCACTGTGTCCGGAGGACACAGTGGAACACCGATCGTCGTATTGGACCTCTGTGCGAGATCCCGATCATGTGATCGCTGATTGGCCAATCAGTGATCACATGCAGAGTTGTAAGCAAGATGTCACTTCTGACATCATTGCTTACTACGTGTGAAATCTGTAAATGATCACAGAGGTCACATGGTACAAGGCTATTCACAACAGCCTTGTACCATGTGACAAGCTGTGACCAATCACAGCTCACACAGTAGTTCTCAATGGCTGCAAGAATGTAACCAGAGAGAAGGAGAAATTATGGCTATTACAGCCTTTATGGGTGTAAAAGCGATCAGTATATATAAAAAAAAAAAATCTTCATCACCTCCCACAAGTAGTACAGTGTTACCATGGTAACACTGTACTGCTAGGGTGACAGTATGTAAAAAAAAAAAAAAAAAAAAAACAATATGAAAAAAAATAAAAATGTAAAAAAAAATGTTTCAAAATTATAATTTTTGGTTATAAACTAATTTGGGTTATTTTTTTTTTTTTACAAAAAAGATAACGGAATAAATGTTGGCCAAGATTTATGATGAAATATTATTTATTTGCAAAATTTTATAAGAAAAAAACACTTTTTTTCAAAATGTTTGGACTTTTTCATTTACATAAATAAAAATCACAGTGGTGACAAAATACCACTAAAAAAAATAAAGCTTTATCTGTCTCAAAAAATGCTAAAAAAGTCATATGGGTGCAGTGTTTGCATGACCGCACAATTGTCATTCAAAGTGTGATAGCACTGAAAGCGGAAAATTGGAGAAGAGAAGAGAAAATTAGAGAAGAGCAACCAAACCAATACGAGGCATGGAGGAGCTCAGCTGTGAGGAAAGATTAGAGGAATTGAATGTATTCTCTCTTGAGAAGAGATTAAGGGGGGATATGATCAACATGTACAAATACATAAGTAGTCCATAAAGTGAACTTGGTGTAGAGTTATTCATCTTAAGGTCATCACATGTCTGGAGGAAAAGAAATGTAATCTTCATATACAGAAAGGCTTCTTCACAGTGAGAGCTGTGGAAATGTGGAATAGACTCCTAGAGTTGGTTCTGGCCAGCTCAGTAGATTTTTTAAAAAAAGGCCTGGATTTTTTCCTAGATACACACAAAATATAACTGCATACTAACATTTATAGGTAAAATTGATCCAGGGAATATCCAATTGCCCCTTGGGGGACAAGGAAGGAATTTTTCCCCTGCAGGAGCCAATTGTTTCATGTTTTGTAGTTTTTTTTTTTTTCCTTTCTCTGGATCAACTGTGAGCATAGGATATAATTGTTTTTCTCCTTTCATGGTTAAACTAGGTGAACCTGTGTCTTTTTTCAGCCAGATTAACTATGTAACTGGAGGGAGAGGTGTCTCACACTCACATGTGGTAAAAACCAAAAACAAAGCAGGAGAGGGCACAATCTCCCTAACACCATTTATTGAACGAGTATATAAAACCAACTTCCAATGCATTCACATTTTATGAGAAAAGACAGGCACATCAAAAAGTTCCTTGCCACCTCTCCTGGTGGAGAAGATACCCGTAAGGTGAGCCACAAGGAAGCCTCAGTCTTCCATCTAGTTATAATGATGCCGCTGCCACTCCACAAAGCCTGCAGGACCTAGTGTGGTGGAGTGTGTTTTTTTTTTATATGTTGACATTCAGATGTGGTGAGTACAAGAATACTGGTTGGCAGTCTGAGCACTTTTCACCACATTATTTGGACTTTTTGTACTTTTTTGCATATACTATTTCGACTACATTTGGTGAAAATTTTGTGTACCACAGCAAAGCTTTAAAATTGGAGTAGCAGGGGGTTGCACTCCTATTTTACGTTTATTGGTGGTATATGGTTATATTGTTAGGTATCTGCGGTAATCATTATTTTCATACTCATTTTTTCCACAAGTTTATGTTTTTTCTGCTTCTAAGTATAGGGGAACTTGGATTATTTTTTTTTTTTTGGGGGGGTTTATAGTTACCTCTTTTCCAGATGTCTTTAGGTCAGTTCTTGCGTTTTCTTTGGTGCTGCATGGTCCTCAGTGTTGCAGAGAGTCATTATGTCAGCATCACTTTCTGCACCACTATACTGTGAGTGTGGGTGCTGTGGTGATACTACTGTAGCAGGTGGACCTATGACACCTGCATTCATAGTATGTCCTCCGTCCTCAGTCCTCTGGATCAAATGGCACATTTAACCAGGATAACTAAGAATATACAGTGGCAGAATTCAATTACTGCAGGGGAAAAGAAGGTGAGTATTTTTAACCAGAGTTGTTTTTTTATATTTTACTATTTAAAATTGTGTCCACCTTCCATGTCCCTTGCCGATGCCATTTTTGGGGGACTGGTATTCCAGCATTCCAGACATGTCCACACCAGCCATTCCTAGTTATTTTCCTTGTACTGACATCATCATTTCATTTTGTCTTTTGAATTTTGATAGGACACCACCACTGGACAGTCAATAAGAAGTGTCCACGCATGTAGTGACGTGGACACCCAAAGAAAGACATCCTGCATCCTGTGTGACCAGGGATTTAGGTAAGTAAAAAAGGCATTTAGGCTGGGTTATTGTATATATTATGCCAGAGATTAGTTAGAAGAGTGTGGGGGGAGGGATACCAGAAATTAGCTTTAAATCCCATTGTACCAGTGTTGTCCCTCACTTCTGTCTTGAAACATAGCACCTTGCCCTTTCAAGCTACTGATCTTCACATAAGGCTTAATTAATTATTTTCTAGCTAGTCAGCATGTTGGAGTTTTCAGCTCTCTTAAATACATTTTTACTAGATAGAAAACAATGAAAACTGATGGAAGGAGGTCATCAACCTACTTTTGGCTGGCAAAGTCTGTTCCGGAGCTTGTCTGGGAGCTGGATGCCAAGTACTGGAGATTCAAGGTAATGTCACTACTGACAGCTTTGTTTACATCCGCAGAATACAACTGCTCAACTAAACTGGTAATTTCATCATTGGTGGCCGCATACACCTCTGGTACAGCTCCTGGATTACAAAAGGTAAGATAAAAATAAAGAGTGATAGCCGCAATAATTTAATATAAGAGCAAATGTATAATAATAGAAAAATACTGATTATGCCGTTTTTGGAATAAGTGTTTGTCTATAAGAAAAAGCATCAAATTGCAACTATTAAGCTTAACAAAGCATCTCCAAGCAAGTAAAATAATTTAATAAACTGCTAATTCTATAGAAGCAAAAGTGGCACAATAAAAAATTTAGAATGTCCACTCAGTTTATTTTCAAAAGTTAATTCAAAGTCCACTTATTTTATCTTCATTGAGGATTTATATAACTTTGTGCAGTAGGACGTAGGACTGCAGGCCCTTGCCAATCATTGCCTGAGTAATTGTTACTGAAAATTGCAGTAGGGTTGGATAGCAGAGCCAGCATCAAACAGTGATCAGAGAAGGCACTGAAACTTTAAAGATGAAGTCCAGGAATTCAATTCCCATGCAGTGGGGCTGTGCCCACACTGTATGGATTAACTTCTAGTTTTAGTCTAGGGTTGATGAGAGTAGAGATATACTATATCTAATCCACCAATCCTCTGAGTGCAAGACCGGTCCTTGCCTTTCCTGACCCCCCCCCTCCATACACTAGCAGTCTTATGAAAATGGACTAGTCCTGGCGTCATTACACCCATAGACCGGTTATGGACATGAGGCTGGCCGGGACAGTCAATCAATGGATGTGGGGGAGCGCTGTTTTCTGAAGAACTGAAGGATTGGGTAAGTATAGCCTTTTGGTAAGCCCCAGGAAAAAGTGAGAAGCTAACCCATGCAGTGTGGGCACAGCCCCACTCTATGGAAAAAAATAATCCTTAAAGTTCTGCTATAAGGAAAGATTGTCATGAAGGGATGTCTTTGCTGACCTACATTTGAAAATGCATATTGCCTGGCTGTGTCTGCAATCAGTACTTTTAAGCCACAAATCCAGAACACATACATGGTAAACGAGAATGAAAAAGTACCAGAATTCCTTATATCTACCAAAACAATAATGAAGCCAAAGCATCAGCATGACAGCCTGGAAAATGGAATAGATGCAATGTCAGGCTCCTACAGACATTTCCTCCAGCTTTCTGCCCGTACCTCTGTATGGGTTTTCAGTTACAAAAGCTGGAGGAAGTGTCAGTGAACTACAAGGGCGTGATCAGTGCACTCATAGTCCATTGAGAACTAAAGCCGTCCGCTGCAGTGGAAGATGGGACTTGTAGATACATCCTTCACAGTACCCAGTGAATGAATGACCATCTTAAATGTGACAGTGGCTGATGGTGTTACGAGGGTGAGGGGGGGCTGAGCTCAAATGGTGAGGGGGGAGGGGAGTGCTGAAAAATGTTAGATATTACCCTGAAAATATGGGTGTAATATGTAACATGTTCTAAAGGTGGACTTATCCTTTAAAAAAGGATTTCAGGGTTCTTGGCAACTCTCTATGACAAACTTTTTTTAAAATAATAATAATGATATTAAACAAATAACAATTATAGCCAGAAATGAAACACAGACAGTGCAAATGGTAGTGTTTTCTTACTGGTAGCGCATTCAGCAGCAGCAGCATTTTGGCAGAAAAAAATGTTTGATGGGCCTAAACGCATTTAAACATGACTTAAGGTTCACTTAGCGATTGAGCAATAATTCATTTCAATGGCCAAAATAAATGATTATTCTGGCCAATTAAATGAATTAATGCCCAAGCGACAGACACGCCTATACACCCCTAAATGTGTTACATGCGTTTACAAGAGTTAAGCATTTTTTCTGCCAAAGTGGTAGAAAAACGTCCAATGTGCAGAGTCCTTACACTGGGGGTCAGTGAAATTTCCCATTACACTGGTGGTCAGTGTATTGTAGTTCCTTCTTATTTTGGCCGTCAGTGAAATGCTTCCCTACACAGGTGGTCGGTGGTAAAAGGACTGCTTTACATAGGTGATCAGTAGGTACATGATAGCTAAAAAGATCAATGGTGGTCACTTGTCTGAGAGTCAGAAATTGCTCATGGCTCAGAGAATGCCTTAGCAACCTCTGGAGTATAGAGTATGCATTTGTTCTTATTTTATTCCGTAAAAGAAATATTAGAAGCAAAATGAACTAATAAATTGCTTAAAGCCCAACTCAGGGCCTAAGTGTACTCATGCAGTAGGTCCCTACCAGCACCACATACGTAAATGCTTGTTTGGTCATATAATGTACCTGCAATCCTGCATTGTATGGGGAGGACAGCAATGATCCGCCCACAACCCAGGATATCAGACAGCAAAAAGAGAGCACTGGCTGTTTAGGGAGTAAAGAGCAAGAAATAAGGTACGTATTTGTGCTTAAAGTGTATGTAAACCCTACATTTCATATTCCTGATATGTTCCTGCTTTATCATGTACTTGTATGAAAAAGTATCCTGTTCTTTGAATTGCTTCCTTTGCGTGAATTCCCTGGTATTTCTGCCACTCCCTGTGCTTTCCTAATAAAAACTGACTACACTAGACATGAGAACAAAGGTCAGTTGCCTAGCTGTGCTGGGACCTCAGTCTGCTCTTCTTCAATGATCAGACTTGTCCTGACATGCCTCCACCCCCTGAACAGCCATTCACTGGGAAGATCAGTGTACTGCTGTTTCTTACATTTATAATGTTTTTATATCTATACACAAAAGTTTGTCTTTCATTTATATTTTAAACTAAATGGGTTGTTTTACAATGTGAGGGTTTACATATACTTTCATTTTTCTCCCTATAGCCCAAAAAAATGTAACTCATGCAGTTTGTGATGAACTACACTATACAGGTATATTAAAAGCAGGGTGGATTTGATTTAAATCAAGTTGATTTAAATCACTAGTGAAAAGGCTTGATCTAAATCATAATTTTGAAAGAGCAACTGTCACCTCTGTCCGGCAGCGGCAACTCCTCTGACCTGCTGTTGACTCACCGACAGTCCCATTCACTTTAATAGGACTGCTGGTGATGCAGCAGTGACACAATAAGGTGAGAGACGTTGCTGCAGTAGGTGAGTGCATGCCTGCTAACAGGCTTCCATGATGGAACTAAAATGACAGGTGCTCTTTAAATGTAAGGAATCCAACTCATTCTTGCTGGTAGCTAGAATCTTTAATATTTGCAAACCAAATGAAGGTTTCCTTTTAGAATAATAAGCTGTCAGGTTAGTGAAACAGCAATGTCAGAACCGATTTTAGGTTAATCACACATAGTTGGAGAACTACTCAAATTCTTTTATTTCATGTTTTTTTCTCATGGTTACTGTGAAATTGTGTGAATGCATCAATGCAGTGCATGTTATCTCACTTTGCAGAGCATGGATTCATTGAATGAGTTTACCAAAAATGTAAATATTACAGAATATACAGCCTCATGCTACATAACTAAGCTCCATTTTTATACTGAATAATCTAAATTATTAATGTATCTTAAATAAAAAAAACTCTTTAAATAGATTTTTACTCCAAAAACATTTTATTACAATAAATTTGATAAAAATCAAAAACATTGGATTTAAATAAAAAAATCTGATTTGTTTTTTTTTTTTTAAATCATCAATTTTTATCCACCCTGATTAAAACAACCCAGAATTGGGCTTTAAATTTCACACATATGGGTTAATTTAGCAGAAATCTTATAAATGATGTCTGTTCCTTAAAGTATACCTAAAGCCAAGACCCTTTTTTTTCCATCTTTGATGCAGTAAAGAGTGTTTAAACTGCTGTGTCTCATTAAGAAATTTTCCCTTCACTTCCTGTCCGGTAGACTGAACAGGAAGTGGGAGGATATATTTCAAATGTGAGAAAAATCAGTTTTCATGATCTTTATTCCTGTTCTGGTGGCAACTGAAAATTTTTCAATTTACCCTCACTTTCATTACTTATGACATTGGTGCTCAGGGCAATTAAAGAGAGCAAATCTCAAAGAGGACAAAGACAGCAATAAAAACAGTGGCTCTAAGCCCTCGGTACTTACCATACAACTAAAAAAATGTTTTGCCTTTACTTATATTTTAACCTTTTGCTGCAGGTTTTCTTTGAAAGGAACCTGAGAAGAAGTCTCTGATGGAAGCAACCGTTACCCAACTCATCTACCACATGCTAGTGGCGAAGCTAAACCTATTTATTGAATTACAAGGAACTAGTGTGTATTCTATCAGTGAAAAGGCTGCTTTGATCAGGCCTTTCTCACACCGGTGTTCTGGTTCAAGAGATTCTCCTTAGACAAATAAGAAAAATGAATGATTAACATTTAATACATACTTCATCAACCTGTAATTGGTTCCAAGTTTAAATAATACAATATTTAAATATGGATATATAATTTATAACACAGCCAAGTAACTGGATTAAAATAAAAGTATCTCACTTGGCTCTGGTAGGTGAGCCCCATAGGCAAGGCATGGCAAAAACCACAGGAGAAGGAAGGAGGTCCTCATTGTGTAGTGTCTGTGGTTGGAGTCCCGCAAACCTCTGTGCAGTTGCAAGTCTTTTATAGCCACCTTATATCAGTGACCTCATGGGGGAGGAATATCAATACGACTGACCTTGTTTTTCTCACAAACTTTCTAAACTTCAGGAATTGTGCAACATTATCCATGAAACTGGATGGCCTTTACATTTTCACTTTTCAAACATGTCATTTTCACTTATTTATCAGATGCATTAATAATTTATTAACGTGAAAGTGAATACTATACAATTATTTATGTATACTATGGTAATACATGTAATACATTTGTTTATTAATGTATTAATGACCAGTTCAAAAAAAGTAAAAAAACATTTAAGTTGAACTTGAATTAATCCGCATTTCTAGTTTCTCATTTCCGCTCTCACCAATATATAAATGAAATTAGTATTAAATAAAACCTTTCTGTTTTCATTATATATCAGCCCCGTTAACATCATCATTAGGTCTCTTTGCTTCTCTTTGCAATGAAGGCAAATCATGGCTTGTGGGAGGAGC